ACCGGAAAGAACCGATATTCTGGAATCTGCAAGAAGGGTGACGTTGGTTGTCGCCGATGTCATTGTGTTTGCTTATGCTGCTGATCACGATGACGACGATGCTGAGCGTGCTGGTGGCACCATGCTGGTGCTGGTGAGGTGATGATGGTAATTACTTGCTTACGAAGGGGATGCGGGTATCGACAGTGAGAAAGACACTGACGATCGTCGTGGAGATGAGCCTGAACGGAGAATGGTCATGATGATTTTGATGACCAGGATGATGGTGGTGATGATGAAGGCAGTGACATTGACGTTGACACGGCTAGCAGCTTCCTTGTTCATCTCATATGTATATATATATATACACACACCAAAACACACCATCGTCACAACAGTTACCATTTTTGTCCTTGGCTAACGGAGTCAGGAGATTGGGTCAAGGTTTGAAGAGCACCTGTCTTAGACAGGTGGCTGGAACAAAGAGCGGAACTCCTCAAGGACGGGAGAAACTCTTGGTTTTAATGCCCGGCTCCTTTTACTGCCTGCGTCGTCTCTTTATGTGTTTATATGAAAGCCAGTGGACAGGAGCTGCGCCCCTTTGGCCACCTGCCTCGCTGGAAGCCTACCAGCTTCGCCGCGCCACGGCCGCGGCGGGAGATGCCGAGGGAGCCAGAAAGAGACCTGACATGATATTTTATTTAGAGCCGTCAGGGTTTATGCAGTTTGGGATTCAGGGTTGAAGGTCACTCTGGTGTCACTTCCACCCGCTTGTCTGCAAGGTCGCAGCTCTTGTGTTTTCTGTGGGCATTTCTTGGCTTGCATCGGAGTGATGTGGGAAGTGGGTGCAGACTGATGTTGGCTTCATAGTGCCGAACTACGCCCTCAAAACTTGCCAGCGTTGTTTGTGGGTTCAGAAGCCTCGGATCTGAGCGCTTACAGCTCGGCACTGGTACTGCAAAGTGCTGTCCGATATCCGATATTGATTCTTGGCACCCTCTCGGATCCCTGCCTCAGTCACAGGCCCAAGAGGCCCGCTAATCACCCAAAAGAAGAATCGCAAGGAGTCAAAGAGCTTTGTTAATGTAGGGGTCTGAATAATTACCAACACTAGTTTGGGGGCTCCATATTATCATTAGAGTATAAGGGGCCCCAACACCCTATTCTAATTATTAAGGCTCCTATACCCGAAAGTCATATAGTAGGTTTTATAGATCCCCTTAAGGAACCCCTTAAAGGAACCCCCCCCCAAAAAACCCTAGTCGAATCATTAAAAAGGCACCTAAAAGTCAATTTCCTGGTCGAGCTGAGGAGAACCTCCAAGAGAGATCTCGCGGGAAGTCTCGCGGGAGATGTCCTCCCGGGAGCCGTCGAAGGCGATCTATTTGCTCTTGTCCTTTAAGGCCCTTAGTTCTGGTACTGTAGGGGTTTATTTGGCCTCGGAGTTTGGGGTTTTGGGTTTACTTGTGGCCTTGGATTCTATTGTTTTCGGTTTTTTTGGGGTTTCAGCATCTTGTTGCTAGGGAGGGTCACTGTTCTTGTGCTACTCGCCGCTGTATACCTATTTGAACGAAGTGCTTGCTGTAGGCGCGCTGTGGCGGACTGAGGGTGGACCGCCTAAAAGCCCTGTAAGTCAACCCCATGTATACCCTTGTAAACCCGTGTGAACCCTCAATTCTTCGAAATTCGAGAGCCAGAGATGGAGGATCCGGGAAATTCCTTTTTTTTACGGCTTCTTGGCCCCCAGACTGGATCGGCTTGAGCCTTTGAAGCCTAGACCCTACGGCCCTAGAGCCAAGTAGATTTTCCACAGATTTGCAGGGATCTCCAGTGTGACAGCACCAACAAGTATGTGGGAGAGGGTAGTTTACAGCGTAGAACTTCGCCCTCTTACACTGGACATGGGCTGGTGGAGAGTTTGCAGTGTTCATGACCTTTGTTGTTAGAACTTGGGCCTCATCGGGCGTCGAGGATTGGTTTTTGAGTTTGGTGTGCTTCAGAGAAACAGGGGAGGGGATGTCATGGTGCGGTCTGATGCAGGAGATGTTCAAAGAGCCGCCAAAGGAGATGCCAAAGGAGCCACTGAGGCCGCCAGCCAGCGATTCCCAGGAGGACGGCCGCAGAGTTCCTTGATCCCTCTCTTCGATTGCCTTGAGAGCACAAAGCGCTGAACGCTTGGAGCCCTGGAGGAGTCAGAAGCCGTAAGCTGCCCGGGAAGCAGCTACCACTCCCTGACGCTTCGTCTGGTTTGGGGTTTCTGTGTTTCTGCTGTGGGTTTGCGTGATGCCTTGAAGGTCTTGCGGTTGGAGGTGCAGGGTTTGTAGGATGACTCAGTGAGACTGTCTGTGCTAGGGTGTCGGGAACTGTTTCGGTTTCGAGGTTATCAACAGCCTTTGTTTGGTACAGTTGAGCAAAGTTCAGCAAGGCAGGCGATTCAAGCTCTGCTGCTTTTGCATTGGCAAACTGCTTGAAAACAGCTCCCTCTGACAATACCGGAATTCGCAACCGTCACTCAGCGCAACCCGCAGAAGCCAAAGCCAGCGTGTTGTGACAGTGCCTACATGCGCGCGGTGTTTTCGGGAAGTTATCGGTCTTCGCGAAAGTGTGAGTCCAGTTTGCGGCTGCTTACATGCGTGTTTGTCCACCATCCGATCATCTGAGGAGCGAGTGACTTGCTTTTGGCTTCTTTGGCCGCTGGAGCAACCCATGTAAAGGTAGAGAGGCGCAGAAACGTGCCAGAACGTCAGAGTTTGCATAGAGAGCTCCAGAAATTCAGTGCTCTCCAGCGGCCTCAAGGAATTCGAGGACTCGGTGGCTCCTTTTCTGGCGCGTGCTCGGAGACCTTGGCTTGATGCCTGTCCTTGGTATGGGCTCCGAATTTGTTGCCAATGCTGTAACTTTGTGCTGCCGCTCTCGTGGTGGGATCCTCACCCTGCAGATCTTGATCTAGACACCAAGAGCGAAGGACTAGTATGCTTGTCAGATCACACCAAGAGCGCTGCCAGCTAGCCTCTCCAGAAGGATGCCCGGAGGAAAACAGAGAACAGAAGGTCAGCGCATGGGTCATGGACTTCGACAGCATCTGTGACAAGTGCAAAGAATCGAGTCAAGCCGGCTTGTGGCGTCTCATGACCACAACATGAATCTGGGTCTTCTCTAACAGCATATATATATATATATAGGATATTCCGGTGTATATAAATATGGTTTTATATAATATACGTATCAAAATTTTTTCTATATCTATATTCCATATTATACATGTATATGGAGAGACAGAGAGAGAGAGAGAGAGAGAGAGTCCCTGTGGAAGAAGAGAGAGAGAGAGAGAGAGAGAGAGAGAGAGAGAGGGCGCCGGGAGCGCGAGGGGAGGGTGCAATCCCTCTCTCTCTTCACCTTTTGTGAGAGAGAGAGAGAGAGAGTCCAACACCCTGCACCACTGCACCACAGCCCTGGCGAAAGAAAAAGAGAGAGAGAGAGAGAGAGAGAGAGAGAGGGAGGGAGCCAGACGGAGAGAGAGGGAGAGAGACTGCAAAAGTGCAGTGCAATGCCGCCGCAAGCTCTCACGTAGAGAGTTAAACGGACAAGCCAGACATGCATGTGCTTAGGAGGCCAAGGTATGCGTCAGGCTACGACAAGTGCTGTCCGTTCACCTGGTGTCCTTCTGAACGGTTTGCGGCCACGGGGAATAGCACCTACACAACCGCTGACGGTGACTGCAAAACATCGTGCAGCAGAACTCGCATCGAGAGGGGGTGATCCACCCATATTGCAACGTGCCCCAAGCAGAAGCACTTCACAACAAAGCAAGGGAGCCGGCATCTGGGGAAGGTTTCACCCATTGCATGGAGCACCCAATGCTCACCATCGGCAGGCGGCCATCCTTTGACCCGACCCGATGTCCCAACACCGCTTGTTCGAGTTCGTGCTTTGTATGGCCTTTTGTAGTTGAGGGTTTGTTGATGGGCTGGTTGACCTTTAATTCCCAAGCCTCGAAGCCGGAACGCCACGAGCCCGAATCACACGATTCTGCAGTCGACTCTCCAGCAGTGCCATTCATCATCGTCATTACCTGGCGCAACTAGGTCTAGCAATCGTGCGAAGTGCATGTCCCTGATGCGGGAGACTCCCAGAGTTCAGATTCCAAAGCAGATTCGAACGGAAGCTCCCTCATTTCTTAGCAAGCCAGCCGTGCAGTTGCGAAGGCGACTAGGGTGAGCTGAAGCAGCAATGGACCTCACCACGATCCTTGGCTGCAGTCGAGTCTTACAATTTTCTGTCCCGTGCATGTGGGGCTTGGGGTCAGATGGGGCTCTGACCCTCAAGCCCCAAAAAGCTGACAAATCCTAAGTGAAGCTCTAAGAACCCTAAAGCTCCAGAAAACCGTAAAGCCCTGCATCCTAAAGCCTTGTAATGCCTGATCCCTGAAACTCCGAAGCCGAGTGTGTCACATGCTGTATTGTCCAGTGTTCTCTCATTACAACGTGTTCTCAAGACATGCGAGGTTGAAGTTAGGGATGGGTGAACAGACCAGCTCTGGTCCCAGATGGGTGAAAGGGGGACGGTTGGTGGTCATGCGGTGGTGAATCCCTCCAGCACCCCTTTCGCCTGCCCCCAACTCTGCGTGAGCATCCCGACTAACAGTAACATGACGGAGTGAAACGAGGGGTCAAGAACAGAGAAACTCCGAAGCCCGAAGCGCGTGGCTTTGTGGATCTGAGGAGCCGTGGCTTTTCCTGGGCCAGGCGGGCGACAGGCGATCTCCGAGTAGAGTCTCTGGTTCTTCTTGAATTCGAAACGCGTTCCATCTTAATGGGGGCTTCGCTGCTTAGCCTAGCCTACAACTGGTCGGGTCTTTGACCTTGCATGCTCCTTCTTCTCTTTTGACAGGTCGCCGGGTGACCTGCTCGCAGCAAGAATGCTGCAGGTAATTTGCGTGCGTGTTGTGCGGAATCCCATGTGATGCTGCTGTTGTGAATGGACAATATTGTCGCAGTTCGACTGCCGCAGTCCTAACCTGGATGGCGACGATGAACTCTGTGTTGTCACCTGATCAACCTCCCATTAACTGCCGTAGTCCTGAACCCCACATCCCAAACCTCGAAATAAACCCCCCAAAATCCATCAAAGCCCAACAACACCTGCTTCTATACAACCCCTGTATCACCACGTCGAGGCAGCTCGACCGGCCCCTGCCTGGACATCGAGAACCTCCTTGATCCCGAGCTCAAAAAGAGGACCGAGAAGACCGGTGGTTGTAGAGACCAGTTTAGGGTTCATTCAGAGTTTGGGGTTCTGGTTTTAGATGTTATGGTTTCGGAGGCTCTTGGGTTTAGGGTGCACAGTGTAAGGTATCGGTTGCCGGAGCCCATCGGAGCCCAGTACACTGCTGTGCACTGTGCACGTGACGTACGGCCGTCAGCTCTGCGCACATGAGTTGGCTTCTGAACTGACGTAGCATGATCATGAGACATTCGTAGGAATCCCAAATTTCGGCACAATCGATGGTAAGGATCATTCCAGGCAAGCATCCACATAAACAGTGGTGTTCCCTGGTTGCTACACTTCTTGTTTCCTTATGTGCCCTCTTACCTTAACTTTCTCTTTGTAAGGAGCCACTGGGTGCAAGGTTTGAGGTAGGACCTTTGCCGGTGCGCAGAAAGCCTAAAGGGCTAAAGCGCAAACACCCCCAAGGCATTGCAGTCTTAGACCTTTTCAGGCTTAAGCCCGGAAGCTCCACACAAGCCTCTAAAGGGGTTTTCCGGCCTGTCCTCTCGAGGTCTGACTGTCCCCTCAGATATGCTATAGCTAACTCCCGAGCCGCCTACCATTTATTCAGGCACGTAAAGCTCAAACCCTAAACCCCTAAACTCCTAAACCCTATAAACCATGTAAACCCTAAAACCCCTACAAAAGCCCAAAGCCTAACGCCTGGCCTATCTTGTATCTCGTGTGCGAAGGCTTGGGGAACCACTGGAGCGACCACTCAGGGCCGCGCGGCCCCAGAGCCCACACGAGGCCTGGCTGGGGCCTTCTTTGGGTTTAGGATTTAGGGTTTAGGGTTTAGGGAAAAGCCGAGTCTGGGGCTGGAAGGTTGGGGTTTCGCGGCCTTTCGGTGTTTTTTGGGGATGTTGGGTTTCGAGTTTCGGGGTTTGGGTTCGGGGTTAGGTGCTGTAATACTTACTTAAAAGGGTTCAGGGTAATTGGTCTGTTCGGGGGAAGGGCAGGGGTTGATTGCTTTTCGTCGGGGTGGAGTTCTGGAGACTGGTTTCCAGATATTCGAATTCAAGAGATTAGGGTTCAAGGATCTGGTGCTCTGCGACTGCCAGGCACAGTTGATGAGTGAGCTGTACGCCCGCATCGCCCAAAAATGCGGCAAGCCCCTCCTGGATGAGGTTGCAGGTGGCTGCCCCAGTGATTGAGCTTCAAAGTCGATGATTGCTTCGGGTTCAGTGGTTTCGTTTCGGTGTTCTCTTGTGACAAATGAGGTACGTCTCACGCCGAGAAGAAATGGGAATTTCAGCAAAATGTGACCCGGGTATGATCTGATCCTGAGTACAGTAGTAAGATCGTTGCAAAACGGTAAGCCGGTATGGTAAGGACCGCCCGAAGTTTCAGAAACTCAGGTCCGAACAGCCACGAGCGTTTCGATGCCAGCTTGGAGAATGCAGCCCGGTTGACCTTCCATACGTTCGGAAGCCGGGGCATCTGCAATACCTACTTAGATCATATATATATACACACACATATGTACATACATACATGCATGCATACATACATGTATATACAGAAATACACGTTTATGCATGTGTATATATATATATATATGTGTGTGTGGATCTCTGCATGTGAGTCCACACAATATACGTAGCTTGATCGGATAGCGACGTTTGCGACATATCGGAGTACATTCTAGAGAAGACATGAAGCTAAAGTCCATCGGCTTATGCTTGAAACAGCTAGTCTGAGACGCCCAAGCCGGATCCCAGGTTTCAGGTTTAGTCTAACCAGTGTTCAGGGTATAGGGTTTGCGGTGTAGTTTACGGTTCAGGTTTTAGGTTTTGAAGTTGAGTTCAGAAGGGTTTGGGGTTCAGTTTAGGGTTTGGGGCTGGGGGGTTGGTTTAGGCTTTAGGGGGCCTCGATCCTCAGGAGACATCCGCTGAAACATGAGGCCACGCGCGTCTTCGACGCCATCGTGACAGAGGAGCTGGCACAGCAGGCCCTGCCTGAAATACGGCTCAAGGCTCTGTGGTCTCTAGGGCTAGGGTTGTGGTCCAGGATGCAAGGTTTGGGGTTCTGACTGCAGATTTTCAACCCTGCAGACTAGAGCGTTCACCCACGCCAACTACACTCATCATGGTCATCCCCAGCCATTGCAGCACCGCGTGTTTCAAGTGCAAGCTCCGACGTTCCCAGCTCTCGGGGCCTCGAAGGACGAAACCACCTTCAAGCACCCAGAAGCACGAAAAATGCCACCCAGCACCCCGCTGTTGATGGACAGTATATCTTGTCGTGGTTTAAGTAACTCGTTGAAGCTATGGGAATTCTAGCAGGATTGCGCGCATCTGGGGTAGCTAGCCTAAGCTTCCCCCTTCAAGGAGCCAGTGTAGGCGAGAAAGTGCGAAGACAGAGCAGCCTGTCTCGAATCACTAGACCAAAGTCGAAGCCCCAACCCCATACCCCATACCAGGATGCGACCCTCAGCAAGGATGTTCAGCCGTGCCCTCATCTCTCGCAGATGTCGTTCAGGCTGCGAAATCTCGAGGCTACCTGCATTCTGAATGGTATCCTCAGTGGTTATAAGGCCGAGAGGCCTGGGTTTGAGAGCTTCATGACCCGTGGTTGTTGGAATCTCGGGTCTACGTAATTGAGGAAGCCTAGAGGTTTGCACCTTGTCTTGGGATGCTGCAATCGGTGCGCGCTGTGTTGCCGTGCGTCTCGCGAGCACTTTTGGTTTAGCTGTACCCACCGGTGCAGCCGCCCTGATGTGAACAGCACATGCCATGACTAAGAGGTCCTGCCCTTGCACGGAAAGCCGACAACAGCTTGCATTTCAGGCCAGGTCGATCAGACTGCAGTGCCAGGCAGCCTTTGGAGCGTTTCCTAGCACGAGGTACAATCCATAAGTGGCGCCCTTGTGGTCCACACCCAACAACCATTCATCCGGCATCATGAAGTCGTCGAATTGCGGCGTTGTCTTGCTGACAAGCTACCTCAGCTCCTTCTTGCACGTGCAGCGTCGGCAAGTAGCGGAGTGGTTTCCTCCGCCATGGCTGGCTGATGCTGTCCTCCCTGCTGAAGCGGAGGCTCCCCAGTATCCATGCAGTTCAGAAACTGATGTATCCACATCTGTAAGCATGCACATGTTTGTTTGCTTGCCTGCCTTTCTGCGTGCCAGAGCCTGTCAGCCTCTCTGTGTGCTACCTGTCTGTGGAATGCCTCCCTTCCCTTTAATGTATCGCTCTAGACCTTGCAAGGCTCTCGGAAGTCAATCAAGAGCCCGATCTCAAAGGTTAAGTCCCTCGCCCTCAGCCCCTACCCGTCATCCCAATGCTGCATCCGAAACGTGAACCCAGAGCACCCGATACCCCTGCGTTAGGGGATCTTGAATCAAGGGGTACTCCACTGGCTCATTTGGAAGCCGGAGCCTTCAGACCCTAAGCCCTACACCCCGAATCCTAAACACAAGCACCCTAATGTAGGGCCTAATTAATTACCTATACTATTTTGGGGATCCCTTTTTATAATCATAGTATAATGTGCCCCAACACCCTATTCTAAGTGTTAAGGCCCCTACATGAAGCGCTCAAACGCCCACGCAGTCCCAGCTTGAGGCCGATCCCTTGGCGCTTCTACCACTCCCTGCTCTCCACGCGCTGGTGCGCTTTTCCCCTGCTGGCCTTGGCCTACAGCGGGTCCCTGCTTGTCGCATGACGCTGGGATGAAGTTAGAGAGAGACCGAAGGGTCCAAAGAACCTCAAAGACCTTCGCTAGTGTAGCATCTGAGGCCCGAAAGCACCAATTCCGGCATGCTTTTACCCCTTGGGGTATGCATTATAATGATATTGTTGGCATAGGCTCCAAAACCTAAACCTTACGTCCTTAGGGTCTTTACCCTAAGTCATGAGTCTCAAACGGGTAAACAAAACTCCAAGTCTCTAGTTGCAATCGCTACAGGTCGTGCGCAACGAGTAGAGGGATCACAAGGGTCGACAGGCGAGCGGAGTGAGAAGATGGAAGATACGTGGGATGAGTGAGACGGACGTAGCTTTTTCATATGTCTTCTGTTATGATTGAACCCTTGCTTGATGCTAGTGATACTTTTGATGATATAAATCCTGCAGTGCCTTAAGGACCCTAAACTATGAGAATGATGGTGCATTCCTTATTATGGCTAATGCAGGATTTCCATCTTCTACCGTATGACGGAATGCCCAATGTGACCGGGCCCGTGCCCGCCCCCAGAGGGCTTTTCATAGCAGACGAACACATCCATTGGCCAAACAATCGCAACCGCTGATTGTCGTTGTGCTTGATTTTGGGGGGCTTTTGGCTTCCACTGGCATGCTTGCGGTCGCAGCATGGATCCATATATCAGTCTGAATGAAGCTGCATTCTTAGAAGCCATAGGCCATAGACACTTACAAGACAAGTTCTCCAAGTCCAAACAATACGGACGCCCTGCGAAGCTACACGCTGAAGCCCTAAAGCCCTCAACCCTAAGCCCCAATGCCTTAACTCCATTTATCCTGAAAGAGCCAAACCCCGAACCCTAAAACCCTTAGCACTAAAGTCACTAAATCCTGAACCCCAAACCCTGAAACCGTGTCGGTACATGGTGTGAGATGCGAGGGCCTTAGGACGTAATGCAGGCGCCAGCTGATTGTGAGGTGTGCTACTTTCAGATGGTTTGAGCTTCGGTGGGCTAGGTCCTAGGTGAAGCGCTGGCCTGCCCAATCCATTGCCTGACCTTCGGCATGCTGTAGGGACGAAAAGCCGCTTCAAGAACAAAAAGTCCTGAAACCCAGACGCCCTGAAACTGTCTTTAAGGCCAGCTCTGCGGCCATTTCGGCACCTGGAGCGCGGCCGTTCTGGCAGCCGATTGCTCCCGAAGCCGTGCCAGGGCCGTGGAGGCGGGTTTTTAGTGCCAGGGCCGTGGAGGCGGGTTTTTAGGGATTTTAATGGCTCTTCTTACGGGATCCTTTAACTATTAAGGGCTTCTTTAAGGGCTACCGAGGATATTTAGGGTTGAGGGAAATCAGGGCTACTCGGGGTATTCGGATGGTTCAGGGTTTCTCGTTTTCTGGTTGAAGCTTGTTGTCAAGAGCTGCCAAAGTTTATTGTTAGGGGTTCTTTCGATGGCTACTGGGGGTTCTTAAGGGCAATTTGTAGGGGAGGTGCCCCAATGGTTCGACGATGGGTCTCATTAAAGCCTCAGACCCCAACGACCAAAAACCCTAAAGCCTATAAGCCTTTGGCGCAACACTGTATAAATCCAAATCCGTTTTTGAGAGCCCTACCCAACAGCGGAGCCTGATAGAAAGCCCGGAAAGTCCTGGAGCTCTGAGCCCTCTTCGCTCGCGCGAGGCGGCGGCGCTCCTGGGTCTCGCGCTCCTTCTAAGCGGCCTACTCCTAGCGTGCGCGCCGCTGTTGGGCCTCGAGGCCTGCGGGGTTTTCGGATGAGAACTGCCATTTGTAGGTTCTGGTTTCGGAGTGTTTGGATTTAGGCATTGCACCATGGGGTGTGGGGCTTGGATTGAGACCTCTCATGGAGTTTCAACACCCCTAAGCCCCACACCCTTTTTCATTGAATTACAAGAAACTGCACCAGCCCCCTTTGGCAAGCTCCGCAAAACAGTAGTGAGCCCCTGTGACAAGCAAATAAGACCCTCCAGCTCCTCGCGGCCTACACCGCGCTGCTCGGCCTTGGTGCGGTGCTGGGCCACTGCCTCCATGTCGGCTTGGGGAAGGCAGCCGGCGAAGGTTTGAGGAAGCGGAAGAAGAGAGACTACAGTCTACAGGACAAGCAAGGACATTTACGACAGCACAACCAAGGATAATCTCAACAACAATCTACAGCAAACTCAACAACAGTAAGGCCAATAACGGTTATGCCATGGTGACGATGATGATGTTGATGATGACGATGATGATCGTCAGCGCGTGTTAAACACAGTGTGCTTCGTTTTGCCTATCGATGTTGGTGGGGAGGTCTGGATGGAGGCTGGGAGTTGGATCGAGAAGCTATTCGAAGGTTTGAGGTTAGGGCGCTAAGGACTGTTCGCGGGTGGAGCGCGACGGTATTTTCATTCGTGCCTCATGGGTGGTCCTTGTGGGGGCGTCAGATGATTCGCTTGTGGCGGTCGGGTCCCGGGTTCCATGGTTCTTCTTCTGAAATCTTTAAAATGCCTGCTGGGTCGCAAAGTATCGAATGCCAACGTAGGCATGAAAAGAGTTCGAGGATCCCGAGGCTTCGAGTTTTGCAGGCTTCCCGTGGTGGAGCCTGGTGTTTGAGAGTTCAGAGATGAGGTTCCCGGGCATGAAGTTTCGGAGTTCGGGCGGAGTGATGGTTTAATCAATGTTCATAGTAGTCTGACTCTGACCATCAACTGCTTTCTGGGGCTGCACTTCTTCAATGGCCCAGTGCCTGATGGACGGAGAAGTACGTCTTATGATGCCAGCGACGCAACTCGAAAAGCGGCATGTTCTCACTCAGAGGGACAATGCGAGACCCTTGAACCCCAGCCCCGAAGAAGGTCTTAGCTGGCGGGGTTTGGGGCAGGTCCGAGTTCCTCAAGGTCTCGCCCGGTCTCGGCTGCTCCCGACTTGCGCACTACTTGTCCCAACCATTCCGAAGCTCAAGGCCCAAGCCAGAACGCCGTTTGGCCCCCCCTATCAGCCGCAAGCTATGGCTCTGGTCTACCAGCTGCACTCGGACTGGCCCTACAACATCCTGCGGCTTCCGGGCCCCTTTGAACACAGGTTGTTTTGGTATGGTCAGTATGGTGTATCCTTCATAAGGAACAAAACTGAAGGTTGGGCTTATATAGTCTACCTTAGCGAGACATAAATCCCCAAACCCAGAACCTAAACCCTAAAGCCCAAGCCTTCAAATGTCCCAACACCCCAAAACCCCAAAACCCGAATCCCAGGCTTTGGAAACAGCCCGAGCGCGTCGGCACTCCGAGGGTCCTTCAGACCTACCTGGCGCAGCCCGAGGCGCTCCGGTTCCTGGTGAACTCCAACTTCGCCTCCAAGGACATCTCGCGGTTTCGAGCTGAGGGTTCTCGGATCAAAGAAGTCATACGAGGGTTCAGGGTGTAGGGATTAAATTACTTTTTTAAAATAGGGTTTCGGGGTTTGGGTCTATTGGCGTCAAGGTTCAAGCAATGCGGTATAGCAGTCTTGGTCCTTTAGACAATTGTATTGCTGAAGGTGACCAAGACCACTTGAAAGGTTCGATTCTTCTAACTCGACCGTAAGCCTTTCCTTACCCAAGCCTGTGCCTCAGTGACAGCAAGGACTTCCATCAGGTGCGGGCGATCTGGCAGGGTGGGCAGAAGGAAGAGGTGTGCCTTTACGTCATCAAGGACTACCAGGGCCACCCTACCTTGGAGGCTTGTCAGGGGGAACTTGCGCTATCTTGTTACAGCAAGTGCTAAACAAATCCGGCTTGAGGCACCGGGGCTCTCATAGGGGCGTGTGGTGGAGGATCCCCTCCACAGAATTCACTTAAGTCACCGCCTGCTTTGCTTTGAGTTTGGAAGTTCAGTGCTCAAGCTGAATAGTTGAATAGCTGGGGGTCGCATGTACCTGGAATGCCTCGACGCTCAATGATGGGCAGGCAGGCTGTGCTGCTTCGGAGACGGATGAAGCAGATGGCTGGTGCTGCCTCCCACTTCTGAAGGCCGTGTAGGATCAGAAGATTCTGCAGCTTTGTCCCAGTTTTGGGTATCAGTCTAGAGTCTCCATTATTCGCAAATAGTTCCCACGTCTGACTCTCCCGGGCAAGCCCATAAATGTCCGACTAGAGTTTCGATGGTTCTAAGTCCTTCAGATTCAGTCCAATGACAAAAGCATACAGAACCCTGTGTAACACGTTATGAAGCCTTGTTGTAGCCTCCTTCAGGGAATCGGAGAGACCGAGGGCTACCAGTCTGGGCAGGTGGCCTGGTCCGCAGTTAGCACAAGCAACCATTGGGAGTTTCAGAAAAATAGGGCCCCCAAAAGTGACGCCAGGATCCCCATTGCAAAGAGATCCAGCGGCTCAAGAAGCACCGACCGACCGAACCCCAAGCCGGCACATTATGATGGACTGCTGTTCTCCGAAAGCGACCATCTAGGACTCGTAGGAGAGGGCACCAGGTGGAAGAACATATGTATCAAGTTGAGTTTTTGCTGCATGCGGTAGAACAGTCTCGGCGATATCCTGGGCTGTACAACGTTTAGGTTTTGTATCTACGACGACGAGGATTAGGAAGAGGAGGAGGGAGGACGACGATGATGCAGACAGGATGACATTCAAGGTGCATCTGGCATCGATGATGGCAATGACTATGCTCATGATGATGACGTCGATGACGGTGATGATGATGATGATGATGGTGATGATGATGATAACCTTGGTGTTCATTTCTGTCACGGAATGTCACGGAAAGTTGCCTATGAACTGTTTCTTTTGCCCTGCTTGCGATAGTTACGCCCTGCTTGCTATAGTTATGCTGTGTACGAGCAGCTGGCTTCATGCAATTCGCCCTTTAATACCGCCGAGGCACTGAGTGGTTCAGAGCTCCAGAGCCTCTGCGCCTCGGACCTCACCCGAGTCGCCGCATTCCTGCGCTCCGATGCCTGCAGCTCCACTTATTGAAGCGGTTTCGGCTTTCGAGTTCCGGGTCCCTGCAAATGAAAAGCGACCCTGCGATTAGGGTTCTAAGACAGGTCATGACAGGTCCGAACAGTGCAACATCCATACAAGCGCCCTAAGCCCAAACCCAAGTGAAGGCATGCTGGTTTTGTGTGGAGTCTCTGCGTGTGCGTGCTGAAAGAGACTCAAGGCCAAGAGACGTTGTTTGCTTGTTGGGCGATTCTAGTGTTCACTTCTGCCAGCGAGCCCAGGCAAGTCCGTGTACGTACTCACTGGTGCCGGTGTTTCAACGGGCGCGGGCATTCCAGACTTCCGGTCGGCTGGTGGTCTCTACGACTCCATCCGCCCCGAGCTCATAACTGCCAGCTTCATAGAGCGCCAGAAGATGAGATTTGATCCTACATATGTGGTTGAAAGGGACATGTTCTTCCAGAATCCCTTCCCCTATCTGGAGGTAAGGCGGCCGTTTATTCTCGGCACGCATAGGCAGCAGTGGAAGGCAACCATTTCTCACTGGTTCATGAAGTTTCTGGAAGAGGAGGGCAAGCTGAAGCGATTGTTTACGCAGAACATTGATGGCTTGGACTACCAGGCTGGCTGCGAGAACAGATTCTTAGTCTTGAGCCACGCTCTCGGAACGTGGTGAGGTAGGCCGAGAAGTCTCTCGGGAATTTTTCTGGGTCAGGAAGATCTGCTCTGGGCTGGGGTCTGGGGAGATTGGAAGCAGGACTCTTTCTTTAAGCTTTGTAGCTGCAAGGAAGAGGTACCTTCGGTGCAGCACCTCAGAAACCCCGGATACCTTGACTTAGCAGAAAAGCAGGTGCAACATCGCCATTCCAACAACGTAGGTGCGGGACATCTGCGGCCAAACACTAAGCTGTGCTCACTAACCTCTGCTTGAGACACAGCCGGATCCGAGACGCAGAAAATGAGGGACTTCTAATATAGACCCTTAATACCCTTAAGCAGTGGTTTCTTAAAGAAGGAGCCCAACACAGACTCCTCATTCCAGCAAACCCCTCATCGCGGAGAAGCCCCAAAGTTTCTCCTTGCCCTGGCAGACTGGTATTTCGCCGACACGGGTGACGAATGTCCACGGCAGCATCGCGCGCGTCTCCTGCGAAGGCTGCGGAAAGGAAATGCCGTTTGACGACTTCTGTGCCCAAGTCCGTACCAACATCAAGGACATGGGAAAGTATCGGCAGAAGAACCACACTCCCAAGCAGAAGTAGCACTTCCGGAACCACAAGTCGAGATTCGGCATGGGAAGGATACTGAAGTTGCCAGATTTCCATTTTCGGAGGTGGCCTGAAAACACGAGGTTCGGTATCTGGCAGGAGGCTGATTCCGTTTCTGTCTTGTTGTGCTTCGTGTCGCAGGACATCTACAAAACGGATCCAGAAGCTCCGGAAGAATCCACCACCATTCCCTGCACCTTGGAAGCCAATGTTTCACTTTCACTCTTCGCCGATTTACAGCTTGTGGAAGCGATAATTTATTTAGCCCCTTACATCCGACCTTCTTACCATCTAGGCCGCCCGGGACCCATACAGTCGTTTTGCTTTGAAGGTCCGCACTGCCAGCGCCCCCTGGTCAAGCCCAACACCATCCTCTTCGGAAGCAACCTTCCGGAAGAGTTCTTCGGTCGAATATCCAGGAGAGAGGCAGCCCGTAGCAGTACGAACATGAACACCACCAACAAATGATTTGTGAATCCTCATTGTGACTCCCAGCACCAGGTTCACTAACAAGTCCGCGCCTGGCATCAGCATGAAACTCATACTCGAATCAATGTCGACATCATAGTGTTGTGTTGACTTCTGCTGAATTGGTTCTTGTATCTGTCCCGAGACTCTGGCCATGATTCTGACTCAGATGACGAAGACGGCGGCCACAGTCATGTATCATGTATCTCCTACGACGAGGACACACCGCCACTGCCAGCGCCAGCAGCACCACCAGGACGACGCCAACACGACAAACCACCACTACAGTACCCCACCATGATGACGACGAGGAGGGCTACTGCGACGACGACTACTACTACCACTACCACTGCCACTAACACTACCACTGCCACTACCACTACCACTACCACTGCCACTAACACTACCACTAACACTACCACTACCACTACCACTACCACTACCACTACCACTGCCACTGCCACTGCCACTAACACTACCACTACCACTGCCACTGCCACTGCCACTGCCACTGCCACCAACACTACCACTGCCACTACCACTACCACTGCCACTACCACTACCACTACCACTACCACTGCCACTAACATTACCACTACCACTACCACTACCACTGCCACTAACACTACCACTACCACTACCACTGCCACTGCCACTACCACTACCACTGCCACTACCACTGCCACTAACACTACCACTACCACTGCCACTGCCACTAACACTGCCACTGCCACCAACACTACCACTGCCACTACCACTACCACTGCCACTACCACTACCACTACCACTGCCACTAACCCTACCACTACAACTACCACTACCACTAACACTACCACTACCACTACCACTACCACTACGACTACGACTACTACTACTACGGCCGTAGCCCTAGGTT